GGGGGCGTCCACTCTCAGAACTTCCGTCTTGTCCGGGTTCAGCCTCAGCCCATTTTCCTGCATCCATTGCAGTATGGCCCCCAGGCAGTGCTGGAGGAACAGGACAGCATCACCTGCAGTCGGTGAAAAGGAGATGTAGAGCTGGGTGTCATCAGCATATTGATGACACGATGCTCCACACCCCCTGATGACCCCACCCAGCGGCCCCATATAGATGTTAAACAGCATTGGGGAGATAATCGACCCCTGTGGAACCCCACATTTGAGACTCCACAGGGCCGAGACGCTCTCCCCAAGCTGCACTCTCTGGGGGCGGTCCTCTAAGAAGGAGCGGAGCCAGGTGAAAGCCAAGCCACCAATTCCAAACTCGGAGAGCCTCCCCAGGAGGATACCATGGTCGACGGTATCAAAGGCCGCCGAGATGTCGAGGAGGACCAACAGAGATATTTTACCCCTGTCGGCCTCCCTCAGTAGGTCATCGCACAGGGCGACCAATGCCGTCTCTGTACCATGGTGCGGCCTGACGCCCGACTGAAACGGATCCAGGGCATCTGTTTCATCCAAATGTGCCTGAAGCAGATCAGCCACCACCCTCTCGACTACTTTGCTCATGAAAGAAACATTGAAATCGTCCGTGCTTCATGGCTCTTTAGAGACAAAAAATAAACTTTTTGGAAAGAGCTATAATAATCATTGCATGCTATCAATTCTGACTTATGCTGACCCTTTCGGGGGGGTTTCCAGGTAGAGAGGATTCAGAGGTGTATTACCGTTCCCTTCCTCTAGGGGCGCTGTGGGACTGTGCAGCTCGCCCAAGGCCACCCAGGCTGCCTGCTCTCCCAGGAATCAAACTCTCAACCTCTGGCTCAGAAACCAGACACCTAAACCACTGAGCTATACAGCCAGCTTTTGGAAAAATAATCACCCTAAACAAAGAGGGACAGAACAATATTTTTGTTTACATAATACTATCTGTGCCTCCATGGAAAGAGCAGAGCTTAGCAATACAACAACGACATTGCTGGCAATGTATTACAATGAGTCAGTAATGAGAAACTAATGGCATTGTTTTTGCAAAGAAATGTAACAACCTGCAAATTTTTCAAAGATATTTAATTCCACATGTGACGTTGGCTGGTAATTTCTCAAGTGGGGAGCACTGCATGAGATTATGGGCTAATTTCCCCTTTCTTAATACCTTTTTTTGGGGGGGGATAATAATAATAAGAGCTAGCAAAACAGTAGCCCATTAATAACGCGTTGCTCCTTTGGAACTGCTAAAATTGCAAAAAGTAGAACATTACTTTTTGAAGAAATTGATCACTAAGAATAATGTGTTCCTTACCAAAGGGGGGGGGGACTCAGATTACAAATTCTAGAAATCAAACATAATTTGTCTCCCTAACTTTTTGCAATTTTGAAATATTAGTGTCATTCAGCGAGCAGCAAACGACTCAAAGGCAAAGGGCACCCCTCCTCTCTATTCTTAGATGGTCTAACCATTTCTTATAATGGGATGGGGGGGACAGGATTTGAGGTGCTGCAGTAAAAAAACGGGTGATACAAATTTGCGCATAAACATATGTTCAGATCTAATCAAGAGGCGATCCAGGCAATTAGTGGCTTTGATGACACGCTACAGCCTCCAGAGTTTTTTCCACATTCTAAGAAAAATGAAGTTGACTATAATTTACTGTGACGGGTATGAAACCGAACAGTCTTGGTGTTCACAACTATATACCGTAGGACTCCCCTTATTCGCTGGATCAGCGTCTGCCGATTCACTTATCCACTGCCTGGAAATATTAAATTTAAAAACCTGCAGAAATATGGATTTATACATATTTCCATTGTGTCTTTACTAGAACTAGCCACTAGAGGGAGCAAGAGACAATGCTATGTATAGTGTTCGCTACTTCCGCATTTTGGGGAGTTCTGCCGGGCGAATTTATATGCCGCCCACTCTACCCAAAGGGGAGTTCTGCCAGGCGGGGGGGGGACTTTATCTAATTATTTAATATGCATAATGAAATAGGTCTGTCCCGGTCATGCTTCCCAGAATATGGTATTCCAAGTAGTGTAAGAAAAAAATTAGTGTTCTCGTTGTTTCACCAAATTCAAGACTCCCAACGCAGGTAACTTTATTAAAAGTAAAAATATCTATTTGCAAATTGAGTAGCGCAATGCAGCCAACTTCCAACAGGA